TTCTGTTTCCCATTTTGTTTGTTGGATTGTTCTGCTGCTCCTCCTCACCCCACCACCCTTGGATCGTAATGTAAAATTATTTTACCATGTCAAGAAATTATTAAAAATACAGGTACTTTGAAAAAAAAATACAGGTACTTCTCCAATCACCGGCCGGGGGGCAGGGGGGGGGCGGCAAAGAAGAGGCGGCTGCTGGTGGCCCGTGATCTATGTGGTAGCATGTAGTGGTCAGGACCCAGTCTCATGGGGTTTTACCCGCGCAGTTTGAATGGTGCTCCCGATCTATGTGGCGGCACGTAGCGGCCAGGACCCGGTCTCATGGGTTTTACCTGTGCAGTTTGAAAGGTGCTCGAGGCACGTGGCGGCCAGGACCCGGTCTCACGGGTTTTACCTGTGCAGTTTGAAAGGTGCTCGCGATCTACGTAGCGGTCAGGGCCGCCTCTTCCCTGCCCTGCCCGGCTTCTCTGATCTCCGATCACCGGCCAGGTGGGGCAGGCAAAGGCGGCCCTGGTTCTCAGATCACCGGCCTGAGGGCCGCCTTTGCCCTGCCACCCGGCTCTTGCCTGCCGCCTGGGTTTTCGATCACCGTCAGTGGCAGGCGGCTTCTTCCATCCTTCCCCTTTCGCCTCCCAGCATTGCACCTACGTATGCAAATTAACCGCCATCTTTGTTGGCAGTTAATTTGCATATCGCCCTGATTAGCCAATGGGAAGCGTAGCGAAGGTATGGTCAATTACCATGTTTGTCTATTATTAGATAGGGTAGCCAAGATATGGAAACAACCTAAGTGTCTGTCAGTAGATAAAGATGTGGTATGTATATGTGTACAATGGAATATTATTCAGACATGGGAAAGAAGGAAATTCTACCATTTGCAATAACATGAATTGACCTTGAGGGCATTATGGTAAGTGAGATAAGTCGGACAGAGAAAGACAAACACTGTATGATATCACGTATATGTGAAATCTAAAAAAGCCTAACTCATAAAAACAGAGTAGAATGGTGGTTACTATGGGCTCAAGGGTGCAGGAATTGAGGAGTTGTTTTTTAAGGATATAAACTTGCAACCAATAGACAAATAAGTCCTGGAGATTAATGCACAGTATAATTATTATAGATAGTAAGATAAGATTGTATTGAAACTTCAGAGATGCTAAGAGACTAGATCTCAATTGTTTCTACCACATACAAAAAGGTAATTATATGACATGATAGAGGCATTATCTAATGCTAATGTGGTAATCACAGTGCATTTATTAATGTATAAATCAACAGGTTGTGCATCTTAGACTTACACAATGTTATATGTCAAATATATTTCAATAAAAATAATCATATCTTTCCCATTTATTTGCTGCTATAGTCTTTTCAATGCTATGAGCAGTTATACGCATGGGATAAAATAACATTAGACCATTGTCAATTGAGATGGAGTAACCATTTCATCTCTTCTGCATGGTCTAGACAAATGTAAAAAAAAAAATAATCATTCCCCTATGTATTGGATATATATATATATATATATACATATATATATATATTTATATTTAATTATCAGTGTATCAAATCACAATGTACACTTTAAATATCTTACAATATTATATGGTGATTATGCCTCAATAAAGCTGAAATTAAAAAAATAATCATTCTTGTTATGAATTATATTCTTAAAATCAGAGAACTCCTTTTTGGATTACCATCATATCTAAGTTGAGGTATGACTTGCTTTTTTTCTACAAATGGGTCATTTTTCAGATCTACTTTTAGAGATTTTTAAAAAGGCATAAAATTTGTAGCCTTTTCACTTCCAAATGTGTATACATTAAAACATGCATTTAACGTATAGAATGCATATTTTTTTCCTTACATTCTTCCTGGTCTTAGGAAGGATTGAGGAAAAAAGGAGTGTTGACTTAAATGTCTGATACTATAATGAAGTTTATTTAACTTTTTGAGGGTGTTTTTTTTTTGTACTTTTAAAAGTAAGTTTTCCCCCCAATTTTACTTTTATTGTTTGGCGTTTGGTTATTGTTAATATTCCTTTCCATTTCAGTAAAATAGTGATTGCTCTTGAGTCCCATGTGTACATCAGTGAATTCTCACTTGGTTAGAATTTTCAGAACAAATAGCAAAGGGAGGAGAGCACACTTTTTCTTTCTCTAGTTATGTGATTTTTGTGCATGCATTGGCAGATTTGACAATTATCAATTGATTCTAAATTTAAAATATACTAATTATTGACTTAGCTTTTTATTTATGCAATTCTTTCATGTGTAGGTAAATGAAATACTTTTAAAAGTGTGAGTTTTTATTGTCATTCTGCAGTATGGAGAAAAGTCGTAGAATATAATAGTTTTTATTGTTACTGTTAATGCTAAGCCTTAAAAAAACCTGTGTAGTTACATTTAAGATTGGATGTGTATAGTAAAACCTAACCAATTTATATTAAATATTGGGGAAAGTCTAGTTGTAATTACAAGTTTTAAAAAGTGTAGCCTTGTTACATGAATTAAGTACCTAATTCAAACGAAGCTATAAATGTTACCTTCTAGAGAACAGGCCTTAATGATTACATAAGAAACATTTCTAAGCCCACGCAAACATTAGTGATGGCGTCAGTGTACATTTTAGTTATGTTGTTACATGATTCTTCTAAATTTCTTGAGGCTTGTTTCTTATAATTTGGTAAATATTCTTCTTCCAGTAATTTGACTAGTGTCTTCTCCATTTTAAAGATATGGACTGTGTAAATATAGTCACTGAAGCCCTTCAGCAAGTGCTCATTGGTTGCTCAGTGGTAATAATCAGTTAATAAGGTTTCACTGTATTTTACACTGAGGTTTGCTGACCAATAATTCTTTTATAACCATAGCTACGTGAGGTGCTTTTTCTTGCTGAGTGTATATTCCTGATAACCAGTGATTAGTCTGTGGTGTTGATCATAAAGAAGCAATGGCATTGTTAAAACCAAGTTAGAATATAGATCTAACCTACTTCGGTGATAGAAATACTGTTTTCTAGTTTTTTAGCTTGGTTTCTGGATGACCTACTTTTTTTTAATGGACAATTATGGTTTTTATTTCCCATCTTATTGCTGTAAGAGATCTCTTTTTCTTATAACTTAACTGTTCATAATGGGCTTTATAATGAACTAAGGTGATTATATTATTTATACTATGCAAAGTTTAAACAATTTACAGCATAATCATGAATATACTTATAGGACACTACAACATTTTGTTCAGCTTACATTTATTTATTTATTTTTATATATTTTTATTGATTTCAGAGAGGAAGGGAAAGGGAGAGAGAGAGAGAGAAACATCAGTGATGATAGAGAATCATGGATCGGCTGCCTCCTGCACGCCCCGTACTGGGGATTGAGTCCGCAACCCAGGCATGTGCCCTTGACCGGAATCGAACTTGGGACCCTTCAGTCCGCAGGCTGACGCTCTATTCGCTGAGCCAAACCAGCTAGGGCTAGCTTACATTCATTTAAAGTAGTGGCACTAGCCTGGCCAGTATGACTCAGTGGTTCAGCATCATAACATGAACCAGGAGATCATGGTTTGATTCCTGGTCAGGGCACCTGCTTGGGTTTCAGGCTTGATCCCTAGTAGTGGATGTGCAGGAGATAGTCGATCGATGATTCTCTCTCATCACTGATGTTTCTATCTCTCATTTTCTCTCTGAAATCAGTAAAAATATATTTAACAAATAAAGCAGTGGCACTATGTTTCAGAGTGAAGTAAATACTATTTCTATAGTAACTAATAATATTACTCTTACGATAAAGTAATTTTAGATAATATTTATGATAAAGTAAGTTTTGGGTTAAATTTGTTAGTTTTGATCATACTATTTCTTTATAAACTGTCTTATCATTATAGATTGATAAGAGTGGGTAGCTGGAGAATGGGGAAAGGATCACATTTCATTTTACAATGAGTATATGTGATAAAGTATAAACAGTGTTTTACAGGGCTGATCCTTCCATAATAGCTTGCCTGTATATATCAAGGTTCAGACACAAAAGTGGTTCTTGCCTGGAAGTGCTTCCTTCTAGATGACAAGGAGAGGTGCTGGGGAAATGGTGATATGTTTCTGCTCTTGGGAAGGTTGCCATTTAATATAAATACTTGAACGAAACTCTTCATTCTATTACAGAATTTACCAGGCGACCGAAAAATACACAGGAGTACTCAGAGATTCAGGATAAACCCATTTCTTTTCTGATGTTTCACATGTACTAGTACAGTGACTTAGGGGGCTAGTTCTCCAAATCCTGAGTCCCCAAATATGGAGGAAGCTTTCCCTTTATACCCTTTGGTTTTTTTTGTCCCCCAAATATGGATCAGACTTCTGGACCTTTCGCGGGCTCTGCAAAAAGCCCCGTGTGTTGGTATGGGGGCTGTGAGACCACACCTAAAGGCCTGGCGCCAGCGCTGATAACCCCCTATGGGGGTTGTGTATGGTTCATGATTTATGGCCTCTGTAAAATGGGAGTATTTAGGTAAATAGGTCTTGCAAGACCAGATAATTAAGGAAGGGGCAGTGACTTGATTATAGGCTAACAAGAATGTGCATTAGGGATACTCTAACTAGGTACAGAGTCAGGCTGCTAGCCTCCTACCTTCTTTCACAAATGGAGTTAATTTTTGTAGCCTCCTACATTCTTTCACAAATGGAGTTAATCATCTGCAAGCAAGAATGTGCCGTTAGAAGGCAGGTTACTGGCACAGATTCAGATTGCTAGTCCCCCCCCCCCCCAATGTCTTATTTCCCCCATCAATTCTAAGACTATAAAATCTTAATTTATGGCTTCAGGAAAATTCTCAGTATTAGGTTATCATATTTGCGTAGCGAAGTTTAAAGAGAAGAATTAGCAAACTCTTTTCCTGAGTTAATGTCTAGAAGCTAATTTAAAAACAGTTCTTTGTGATAGTCAAACTCAGGTTATTTTCTGTTTTTAACTCCTAACAATTTTTTTTTTTAAGGTGGAGAAAGAACCTGTGGAGTACATGAACTTATCTGTATTAGGAAAGGTAAGTAATGCTCTGCATGGATATTTAAATACAAAATGAACATTTTACAGTGTATGACATATGGTGGATAACTTAGACTTACAAATTATAAAATTTAATAAATATTAATGTTTATTTCTTGTATTACAGATGTGAGCACCCATAAAGTGCAGTCGTTTATTATGTGGTTTTTGAGAGTTGTTGCTTTATTTATTTAGTTTTGAGGGGCTGTGAGAGCCTGGTTTCTAGCATGCTAGTTGTTGGCCATGGTGAAGAGGCAAAGAATGGAGGGTGTGATTTTTGTTCCCTTTCAGAGTCTGGAATCTGAGTGCAGGCTGATCTCCCGTTGACTTCTGTTCTGTTACTGTACCCAGCAGGGAAGTGTGAGGAGTTGTTGAAATTCAAATCGGAACATGTCCAAAGACGACAACATCTTTTGACACCACCATCTGTCTGTGCTTCCTTAGAAGGAGCCACCTGGCAACGGGGTGGTTCAACAAGGTGGCCCCAGGCAAGGTCACTCAGTTACTAGGCGGGAGGCAAGGAACCAGGTATTCTCTATATTTGGATGAGTCAGGAGAAACTTGGGAGTCCCCACACTTGCTAGTAATAACGAATCTGTGAAATGGTATGAGAAAAAGGAAAAGATGGACCTGGGGAGGTCAGAGGCTGAGTCATCATAAATTTACTATCCTTTTCTCTTTTTAAACTTGGGACTTTCTTTTTCTTGCATCTTTCTTGAACACTGAGTTGGCCCACCTGAGTCTGGCCAACTAGCTGCACTCCCCTCCCTGCCATTTCCCCCTGAGGAGGTTTGTGGTGGTGGCGGTACATGCGATACATGAGTATGGTTGGCCTGTCAGGGAAGTGTCCGCATATTTTCAGTAAGTCCTCAACAGGTCTGAAAAGCCTCAGCTTCTTCGCTGTTGGGGAAAAATCCTTTCTAGGTGAATTGGACACGGTCATACTAGTTTATCTGTGTCCCTGCTTGCAATTGCTGTTCATTTAGAAACATCCTCTTTTCTGTATAGTAAAGTGTAGTTTATCTATATACTTCCCTGCTACCACAAAGGAGAACATTGAAATCAGTTTCCTGAAATGTCAAATTTAGGATTATGATTTTCACACTGTTATAGCGCTTCTTATTCTAAAATGGGGGACAAATTTATACATTGTTTTCTTCCTCCACGTAAATATCTTTAGTCTTTTAGAATATGTTAACCCAGAATTAATAAAAATGTTTTAAATAATTTTATAGTTATTACCTGTCTTACTAAAACTTCTAAAACACAGAATTTATTTGGACAGCAAAAGGTACTTACTGTACAAATCACTTGGAATCAAAAGTTATCAAAACTGTGGTGAGGTGAAGAGAGAATCAAGACAAGAATAGAGAGCGAGGAGGGAGGAAAATGAAATGTGTGAAGGCCTTTTGTAGCTACAGTGGGAACAGAAAGCTACAGTGGAGAAAGCCTGGATGGGGTTGGATGGTGAGCACACATTTTCATTATGGCTCCTCTTGCTATTCTTTATTGCTGTCTCCATTCCTCGCCAGGTAGTTCTCAGACCACGCCTTGCCCCGATTTCTCTCTCTTCCATTTTTCTATAGAATGTTAAGTCTGTGATTAAAATTTTTAAAAATTTATCTCACTGTAGTCATGTCATGGAAAAGTTTCTAAACTGCTCGATACCCCCTCAGCATTCAGTACACTGTCCTATCCTAGTGGAGATTGCATACATATTTGAATCTTTTCAAAATTAATGCTAAAGCTGTTGCATTTTAAGATGGACTTTTATAAAGCAGAACATATGAAGGTTACATAAAATAGAATAATTGTAGTTGGTCTCAGTGATTCTGGTAAAATGGCATCTCTGACATGATATTCCATTTCTTTCTATCTGGCTGGCTGCTCCTTCCTTCTCTTCTCTGCTGGCTTCTCTCTGTCAGACCTCCACATATTGGAATGTACCAGAGTTTGGTCCTGGGTTTGCATCATTTTTCTATCTTTTTTTCTCGTTGATTTTATCTGGTTCTGTTTTAAATGCCACACAAGTTTATAAATCCAGCTCTGAGCTGTCCTTGAACTCTCTGCCCTTAATTCACCTACTTACTTAATATTACTGTCTGGATGTCTGTTAGAACAACCTGACCTGTTCTAAAATGCAAGTCTTGATTTCTTCACATGAGCCTCTCCCTTCTTCAGTCTTCTCCATCTCAGCTAATAAACAGAACAGTCTACTCAGTTCCTTAAGTTCTAACTTAAGAATTATTCTATATTTCTCTGAATCTCTTCCACATTTAATTTATTGGCAGATTTTGTCAGGTCTACCTTCAGAATATGCTTTTAATCTATCCTCTTTTCCATCCTGCTGTTATCATTGTAGGCTGGGTCCTTATCCTCTCTAGCCTACACTGCTGGAATCGTTTTCTCGCTGGTTTCCCTGCTTCCATTCTTACTTCCTTACATTACAAACCAAAGATCTTTTTAAATGTAAATTAGGTGCTGTCACGTTGACAGTTGGAATTGTGTTGTGGATTCCCACTGTACATGGAATAAGATTAAAGTGCCTTACCCTGATCTACAAAGCCTTACATTATAACATCAACTCAAAGTCCAAAATGTCATCTAACTATCACATCACATAGAAGACTCATCATCTAAGTCATTTCCATCAGGGATGGGCGAAACTCATACGATCCGTCCTGGTTCAAAATTTCTCCATCTGAAGACGGTGAGACTAGGAAACAAGTTACCTGTTCTTAAAATACAATGATGGAACAGGCGTAGGTTAATAGTTATAGACATTTCCATCCCCAAAGTGAGAAAATGGAAGGAAGGAAGGAAGGAAGGAAGGAAGGAAGGAAGGAAGGAAGGAAGGAAGGAAGGAGGGAAGGAGTCACTGGTACCAAGCAATTTTGAAATTCAACTGGGAAGAACCTTTTAGGTTGCAAGGCCTGGAACTGGTACTTCCTGGTGCTTATTCCTGAGGTCTGAGGCTCTGCTCTCTGGCCTTAGGGCTCTGCCTTTGGAATCATCCTTCCTTTTCCCCAAAAGGGTGTGTATGTTTGCACTAAGTAGTTTTCCAGCCTGTTTCCTGCCTGAAAGTTTGGTAGCCTGTCGGTCTTCTTTCATCTTGTCTTCTCTCCCTCTTCAGTTCAAGCTGGTGGTGTTTCTGCTGGTATAATGTTCTCAAAAAAGAGTGTGGTGAGTCTTCTCAGTAAGTCCCGGCGATTCAGTCCATTAGACAAGATGTTCCTTCACAGGGCTCTCCTGAATAAGTCCATCTCTGCTTTTGGCTTCTGCTCAGATGGCAGAGGGGAATCCATGAGTCACTTATCTCATCTCTTCTGAGAGCTTTCTATGTCACTGGATAGTGTGACCTTTTGTTCATTTTGAGGCACTTGGAAAAGGTTGTCTAGCCACCAACTTAGCAGAGTGTAGAATGCCCCATGTTCTGGATTTTGTTTATACATAATATATTTGTTTATAGGAAAAATATAAATAAGAAATATATAACATATATGAATAAGAATGATATATATTATTTCTCCTTTCTACAAAAGATGAGCTACTATATATATTACTTTGTATTTTGCTTTTTATTTAAAACAACACCTAACATAGAGTTACGTTCAAATCAGTAGATAAGATCTTTCTCCATCTTTTTTTCTGACTGCATTGTGTGACAGAAAATTGTGGTATGTATTTCCACTCCATGATGTGAAAATACACACCATAATTTATTCAACTGCTTTCTTTCTCTTTTTTGTGTTTTAAAACCAGAACATTTGTTGCATGACTAGTCATTGAAATCCTTCAGATGAACTGGGTGCTGCCACAGCTGTCCTCTGGGGTTCAGGTGTTCTCCTTCTTGGAACCCATTCCAGGTGCCTCATTCCATCAGTCCCAGTGGCATTTCGTCTTTTAGCCTGGGCACTTCAGTTAAACTTTTCCTCCACTTGGCAGGGAAGCCCCATTGGCCCAGGTAGACTTCTGCAGGTGGTGGGCCTTAGAGCCACAATGGCGGCTCAACTTGCGCATCTTAATTGCAACACTTTCCAATGAGGATGTTCTCTTTGTCATCTCGCTTCTGCTATTCAACTAATTTCTTACCAATGGAAATTGCTTTGTTTTAAAAGTTTTGCTACTAAAATAATGCCATAATGAAGACCTTTGTGCATGTGTTCTTGTGGTTATTTAAGTAGATTCTGAAAGTGGGGTTGCTGAGTTAAAGAATAATATATTATATTAGAAATGGCAAAATTCTCGTTCTTATGCATTGTACCATTTTGCATTCCCACTGGAAATATATGAATTCACAGCTTTGCCGGCAGAATGTGTCATAAACTTTTGGAATTTTTTTTTTTAATCCTCACCCGAGGATATTTTTCCATTGATTTTTAGAGAGAGTAGAAGAGAGAGGGAAAGACAGAGAAACATCGATGTGAGAGAAACACATCAATTGGTTGCTTCCTGCACGAGCCTGAATCAGGGCCCAGGCCGGGGAGGAGCCTGCAACCAAGGTATGTGCCCTTGACTGGAATTGAACCTGGGACCCTTCAGTCCACAGGCCAACGCTGTATCCACTGAGCCAAACTGGGTAGGGTGGTTTTTGGATTTTTTATTGTTTTTTTGTTTGTTTGTTTTAAATATATTTTTATTTATTACAGAGAGGAAAGGAGAGGGGGAGAGAGATAGAAACATCAATGATGAGAATCATTGATTGGTTGCCTCCTGCACGCCCCTTACTGGGTATTGAGCCCGCAACCCAGGCATGTACCCTTGACTGGAATTGAACCCAGGACCCTTCAGTCCACAGGCCAATACTCTATCCACTGAGCAAAACCAGCTAGGGCTTATTGTTGTTGTTAATCTGGTAAATAAAAAAAATGTAGTTCAGCATGATTCAAATATTCATTTTTCTTATAAGTAAGGTTGACTGTCTCATTAACTTCTGTTTATAGAGCATACAAATGTATGCATGGTATGATTTGAAGGACAAATACTTCTTCTGAAATG